CAGAAGTCAAATCACAGTACCAGCGGCATTGATTTAGCATGGGAAAGCCTCAATTCCCTTACCTACAAAATGGGGATAATAATAGTACTTAAGTTCATAGGATGGTTTTGAGAGGTATTTGAGGAAGTACATAAATACCTCCTAAACGGTAGATGGCATGTATTATTATGTATGTGAATTTTACAGGAGGTTTGCCATGTATTTTCTTCATATAAAGTTAAGGGTATAGTCAGATAAGAGTGAAAACACAATTTGTGTGTTTTTATCAAGGACAAAAAGTTCTGTGGCAGCAGATAATTAGAAAAAAGGAGGCAGATGTACAATGAAGAAGAAAAGACAGACTAGATGGAGGTGCTAGGCGAAGGCTCTGGGGGGAGTAAGGGTTGGGATGAGGAGAAAATAAATCCAACAGATTTCAAAGGCAAGCAGCGTTTAATGCAGAAATAGAATTGTTTCTTACTTGCTTTACAAGTCCAAAGCTGAAGAAATCGTAACTTCGAAAATTAAAGGAGCTGCTACTGTTGTGGTTGTCATTAATAAACAGTATAATGTGGTATGACACTTACCATGATAATCTGGGGATATATTTTAATATAAGATTTTAGTGTTTTCTTGTATTTGAAACTGATAAGGCATTTCGAGTGTACAGGACTAGGCAAGAGATTTATAAACATCTGGCAAGATGTATCTAAGATAAATGGACATAAAATGAGAGAATAAAATTAGTGTCTGGTAACTTTACTGTAAATTCATTTTAAGGCTTGAATCAAGAGTGATATATATGTACATATGTATATACAGAGAGACACAGACATACATATGTCTGTCTATCTAATCTGGTATCCTTTTTGAATGTACTTGGAAAAAAAGCTAGAAAACAAAAAAGCAAATCTTGACTGGCATGTGAAAAAGCCACTTTTTCAAAATCTCTTTCCTCTTATTTCTAAGTTTAGAAATGAAAATTCAGACAAAGTAAATATTTCTATCTTGCTGTCTTTAATGTATAGCACAGTAGCTGGTGTAAATATACAATAAATACTTTTAATGATACTGTAGAAGATGAAAGTGAGCTTTTTTGAATCTTGACTACCATATGCTGGCTTTGTAACCAAGAGGAAATGATGTGATATAATCTCTCTGTGCCTTAACGTCTTCATTTGTAAAATGCGGGGGTCATGATAATGTCTACCCCATAGGGCTGCTGTGAGAACTAATTAATTAATTCATGTTTTCAGTGCCTGGCATAGAGTAAGCACATAGCAAATGCCAAATAAGTGTTCAATAATTGACTTAATCTTCAAGGGTTAGTGTTTAAGGAGTCTTAGGAACTGGGTTCATCCAGCAAAAGGTTATGACTTAAACATATATTAGTATATTTGACAAGGGAAAAAAAAGTCTTGTTTGGGACTAAGATTATTTGGGCTGTACTGGGACAATTTCTGCCACCATCCTACCCAACCTTCCAGAAGATCTTAAATGGTAAGGCATACAACCAGCAGTGCTGGTGCCCACGGTTCTGTCTCCGGTCAGACTAAACTCTCTTCCAGCTTTACCCTACCTTGTCATGGGTGAACATAATGCTGACCACAGTGGCCTCCCCGGCTCTTGCTGAAAAGCTTCAGTCTTCTTTATCTGTACTTTACTGCTCTCATTGGGACTGAAGGTTATTGAGCTGTGGTGAGAAGGGACCTAGCTGCCAGGATGTCTAGCAGCTCACACTCCAAGGCAGCCCATGAAAGCGTGCGTTGGGTGCTTTTCTCTAGGAGGCCCTGTTAAGAGGTATGCAGTTCACACAGTCAGGCTCATTGTTATGTCACTGGTTAGGTGTTAACTGTTACTGCCTTACCACTGTACCCTCAGGGCCTAGCCCAGTGTGCAGTACATAATAGATACTAGTAGAAATGAACTGAACTGAATTCAGAGCCTGCCCTCATCCCTATTTATTTCAATCCCCAGAAGCCTCGGAGACCAGCCATTATCATACTGATTCTTATCTCCACAGTCGCTTACAAACCCCCCAATCTGACACAACCCACATTCCTCACCACCCTTCAAACCCTTTCACTGCACCGTTTGGACCTCCTGATCCATAACCTGCAAAGTTCCACTATCTCTTCAACATCTTTTGGAATGTCTTGTCCACTTCCCTGCATAAGCTGAAGCCTTGCTCTCCCAAACGTGTTCAGTATGTCTCTCAAATAGAGGCCACTTGTTTCTCACCCCCCACAGGCACCCCTCCTGATCCCTATCACTGCTTCCAGATCATTTCTCCCTTTTTTCAAAAACTCCAGTTCCTTGGAAGTTCTTGTCATGCAGTGGTACCACCTGTATCGGCGTCCCCAACGGGATATAGATGGCATACTCAGGTTAATGTGAGGATCATTTAATGAAGGGACTATTTACAAAGGTGTGAGTGAGGTAGGAAAGGCATGAGGGATAGTGCGGCAACTCGGGTCTAGTGACAGTGGAATTGTTACCACCCCTAAGCCTGGAGGAACAAGGAACAGGAGCTCTGGGACCCAGAGGAGAGACGTGTAGAGAAGGCCATGCCGAAAAGCAGAGCAGAGACCTTCAGTTCAGGGACACGGCCTCCCTCCATCAGATCTGCTGAGGGTCCCCAGCCAAGCCCAACCAGAGCCAGAGAGCAAGGAAACCTGCTGATTTAATCCACAGGGTTCAGTTCCCATGGCACTGAGTGCGATGAAGAAGCATGGACTTAAGGGACAAATGGAAGGTACCCAGTTTATACCCAATGCCCTGTGGTTGCTGTCATCTTCCATCCTTTTACTCTTTGAAAACTTGAGCCCCTAGCTCATTATCTTCCTGTCCACAGCTTCGTAACTTCTGCATCCATGTGGGTGCTTCCACCCTTGATCTTTTTCATCCATTCCTATCGTTATTCCCGAAACACTACCAGTAATAACACTTCAAGCATCCCACTCTCTGACCACCACCTCTTATCTCTGTAGTTCACTAACTAGTTTTTTCATTGCAGTTTTTCACCCTTCTTTAGGTCTCCAATTCACTGGCCTTACACTCTTCCACTAGTCATCCACTCTCCCAGCTCCACTCTCCTGTCTTTACTTTCCACTATGTCCAGAGGAAATTCTATGGACCTCACTCCCTCGAAAAGAACCTTCTCTCTCTAACGTAATCACCTGTCAAAAATCCAACTCTGGTTAAAGCCAATTATGTCCCTTGGAACTGGGGGAAAAGATAAAATTCCACTAGCTGGTTTCTCTCTATATTTGTCATCACGAGCTTCAAATGGGCATGATACCCGGAAATCCTATGCTGATCCTGGTGCACATGCCAATTACTCTTCAAGATGAATAACTTCACACCTTCTTTCTCCTTGAACTTCTCAGATTCTACCCCTAGTCTCCACACCCTCATCTATTCACCAGTAATTCTACAAACCTCCCAGGATCTGCACCCATATCCCTGCCCTTCATCCTCTTACCACGTAATAAGGGTCCCTTCTCCTATCAAAGCCCAACCCCTCCGCTTGTGCCCTAGATTACAACCCTTTTCATTTTCTGAAGAAATCTGTTACTATTCTTATTCCCCTTCTGTTTGCACCAATTTTCCTCTACTGAATCATTTCTAACATCAGACAAATATGTTAAGTGACTCCCATCTTGAAAAATAAGTTTCCTTGATTCCAAATTCTCCTCCATTTCCCATCCAGCTTATCCATTCCCCTTTGAAGAAAAACTTGAAATGACTGTCTACAGAAATTACTTTTCTTCACCTCCAGTTCTTTCTTCTGCCCATTTCCATCTGCCTTCCACAATCACCATTCAATAGAAATGCTGCTTTTGCTTAGATCCCCAGTGACATATTTGTTCCCAAGTCACCTGATACGACCTATCAGCAACATGTGACATGGCTAGCTGCACTCCCATTCTTGAATCATTTTCCTCGCTTGGTTTTTGCAGACACCCCTCTTTTCTGATTTTCCTCCTGTCTCACTGACTCTTCCTTCTCCATCTTCTTTGCTGGCTCTATTTCCTTTACTAGACCTCTAAATGTTAATAAACGCAGACTCTTCTTTATCCTAAGCCGCCCAATACAGTAGCCACTAGCTACTGTCTAAACTTAAAATAACTTAAATGAAATAAAATTAAAATTCAGTTCCTCATCTTCACTAGCCACATTTCAAGTGCTCACTTAGGCACTTGGGGAGAGTGGGCAGCATGAACATAAAACACTTCCATCATCTCGGAAAGTTCTATTGGACAGGACTGACCTAGACTCCCTCCCTAGGTGATCTCACCCAGTCCCATGGCTTTAAATATCATCTGTATGCTGAGTTCTAATATACCTCTAGCTCTGACCCAAGCTTCAGGTTTGTACATGGAACTCCCCTACTTGACATAACCACTTAGATGTCTAACAGGCTATTCAAACTAACATCCAAAACAGAACTTTTTATTTTCATCCTCTCCACCCCTTTCTCTACCCACAAAAGCTTGTTTCTTTTCCTATCGATTCGTAGAGAATGACACCATCCAACCAGTTTTGAAGCCAAAAATCTAGGAGCCATCTTGATTCCCAATATCTAATTCATCGATATGCTATCCATAAAATACATCTCAAATCTACCGCCTTCCACCTTCCCGGTCATCTTCCTAGTCTAAGGCTCTTGTCTGGGTGACTGTCCTACTCATACAAGATACCCTGCACCTAAATCCAGCACATAGCAAGTGCTCATTAAATATACTGACTAAATCAACAAGCACAATCCTACTGAATAGTGCAAAATAATTTAAACTTGTAAAATATACATGAATAACAGATATTTGCCAGAGACCTTCAGAAATAGATTTAGGAAGATAATAAAAATCACCTTCCAGACAGGCTTTACTTATGATTGGTTATAGCTCAATACCATTATTCATTTTGTTCAATTATTAACATATTTTTCATGCTTTTCACATGGGAGTATATTTTTCATACCCCCATGCATCTGTTATCTGCATGCAGTGCAACTTACCTCCCAAAGAGAAATTTTAGTTGTTGCTCTTTCCCTCTCAGCCTTCCTTGCCTTTCCTGATTAATCTAGTGCAGCTTCTGGACCTTTTGATTATCTATGTGTTCCATCCTTGCCACAGCCCAGGACTCAGCTCACCTGGTAGACATTTATTTTGTTCAGGATTCCCAACTTTATTCCTGTCCTTGCCTGTCACCTAGCTCCTCCCTGCAGTCCTCAACTTCCTTGTCAACAGTCTGACCCTAGCCTTAATCCAAAATAACTCAACCAATAATTGTCAACAATGTCTGCTACTCCACCCTCTTTAATTCTCTGTATTTACTGGCAGCCTCTAAATCTTGGTCACCCCCATTCATTCCAGCTGCAAGCCAAGCCTGATCAAAATGGTTTTTCCTAGATACAGACAGGTACGTAATTACAGTAGTGAGGTGATGGGGCAATGGGGAATGCAAGGGTATCTTCTGGGGCCTGGAGCCTAGTAATTTTCAATATGCCCGACATCTGTTATTGTCTGTGTGTGTCGGTTACAAAGCCATCTCAGACACATTATCTCCACAGCAATCCAAACGCTATCATCTGTCTACACCCTTTGGTTGACAGGGTGAGGGCCCTGAATTCAATTTTTTGTATTAAGGTACCTTTTACTGGCAAAACTTTCAGTAAGTGTCTACATTTCCCTTAGCATTTAAAAAAAAGAAAAAGAAAAAAAAAGCGATGTATGCCAGTATGCCATGGGCCTCAGGTGGAATTCACAAAGTTGGCAGAGCTGGAACACCTACTAACGTGGACGTTCTAAGATCTTTAGGGTGTACAACTGGCCTGAATTCATCACGAGCGTCAATCCAACTTCTCCAGTGTTTAACTTCCGGAATTTCAGCTTTTTGCTTGGGCGATAGCCGAGCAGAATCGAAAGTCTTCAAGGCCCGGACTTCCGCCTCTAACCCTGAACCCCGCCCAGCGCAAACAAGCCCCGCCCAGCAAGACGTTGGACTTGCCGAGTGTGAGTCTCCTCAGCGCCCGTAGTTCTTGAACTTTGACCTCTGCAGGGCCTGTGCGTGGGCTAGTACGCATGCGTTGTTCCTCTGAATGGCGAGCATCCTTATTCTGGCGGCGACGGCAGGAATGGTTGCAGTGCTTCTGGCACTGCGGCTGTGGATCGTGCTTCATTCCCGGGTCGTTGTGCCCCGGGAGTCTCTCAGTCTCATGGCGGTGGCCGGGTCCGGTAAGTATCGGGGCGGAGACTGTTGGGCTGGGGTCGGGCACTACAAACCCCAGAGTGCACCGTGACGCTGTTCGCTGGTCTCCTGAGCGCTTTGCGCAGCAATTGCATGCTGAGATTTGTAGTTTCTCTGCGTTACTGGAACCAGCCCGCCCAGCCAGGCAAAATGCTGGTCTCTTGACGCTGCCCAGGTCAAGAACTTAATGACAAATATGTAATTTGCACTTGTCTGTAATTAAGCTTCCCTGCAGCGTATATTTTTCTAACAAATTATTAGTGAACAGAGAGGACGCAGAAGCCTTTTCATGCTAACATGCAATTTCCCTGAGTAAAAATTGTTTTGCATTATTAATCTAGGCATTTTGTAGTTTAGGAATCATGAATGCTACATGATAAATGAGGCAATGGTGAATTGTCATATTTGTAAATATACATATACAAAATCCACAAGGATAAAAATTATCTACTAAACATAGGACAACCCACACATGAGGATATTGTGTCAGGGTATAAACAGCAAGCTGTCCTATTAGGTAATACCAACTAAACAGAGTCCACCAGCTCTGTAGGCACTAACAATTTTAAATGACAGTTCAGACAGAGGTATATATTATATGCTGTGTGCATTTAGAAATGCCAGGAGATTGCATCCAGATAGAATAATATAGTAGGAGCAAATGTTCTGAACTTATATTCAAGTATAATTCATTCATTTATTCACTTAACACATTTTGAGCCATAGGAGAGGCCAGGCACTAAGCTGAGCTCTGGACATAACAAAGCGACTAACTTTACTTGCCACGGACTGCTGACTATGTCCCTAACAGTGTGACAGTTGTGATATACAGCAGTGAATGAAATGGAGAATGTAGAAAAACTAACAGAACAAAATGGGTACTTGCCACAATGAGATAATAGATTGCATACTATGAGGTAGGGCGAGGGAGTTTCATTTTAGACGGAATCGTCAGAGAAAGCTTCCCTGTGGTGATAACAGATATCCAACAGCAGGGAGGCCAGGGTGACTGGAGTATTACTGAGTAATGGGGGGGAAAAGCTGATGAAGTCCAAGAGGAAACATATTAAGGGGTGAGATTATAGGAAGCCTTTTGTTCCATGTGAGAAGGGCATTGGAGGTTTTTCAGCTGTCAGTAATTTGATCAGCTCTTTTTAATAGGATCACACCTGATGCTGTGTTGAGAACAGACTGGAGTGGACACTTGAATAGACAAGTGAAGTGAGGGCAAAACACCAGGAAGCTATGGTCATGTCCATGGGGAGTGATGTGGCTTGAAAGCAGGGTGGTAGCAAAGGAGGTGGTGGGAAGTGATTTAATTTTGGATATATTTTAAGGTATAACTGAGATTTCGTTCCCAAAGAATAAATATTAGTAAAAGAATAAAATTCAAGACAAAGCCCATCATTTTAATGACTTTATTCATAGCAAGTTTAAATTTCAAGGAATGTGTCCAGCGAGGGTTTCCATTAAAAAAAAAGAAAAACGACTGTTAAAGGAGGTTTAATGAAGTTTTAATTGCATTGGAAGATGTTGTTGATATTAGGTTTTATCCTTCATTGTTCTAGCTGTGAAAAGAAGTACCTACTTGGCAAACCACCACACTTTTTCAAAGCTAAAAGCAAAAATACTAAAATGAGTATAAATCAGATGTGTAATTACTTGGCCCCAGATAAGAAGATGGGTGAGAAGTTATAAAATTAAAGCATGACTGTAATTCCTGAAACTCACTTAATCTATGCAGATTTTATTTCTATGTCTAATTCTCTAGAACCTAGACAGGAATACTTCCCTTTCTATTATAAGAAAATATATGCATTGGGAGAAATCACATGCTTAATTTGCTTGATTATCCTTCTATTTTCTCACTGCATCACTATTGAAAATTTCTTTCAACCATAAGGGAAGTGAGGGGGTGAGGGGAAGAGCTTTGTAGGTAGTGGGGACAGTGTGACCAGAGGCAAGGAGGAGGTAACAAGTAAAATTAAACTAAATAGGTACGATAGAGCTCGTTGACAGAGTGATTATTTTGCTTCAGCGGCATATACAGAGGGTGCCAAAAAAATGTATATACATTTTAAGGAAGGAAAAAAAACTGTATTAAAATTGTAATATTATACACCGATAACAAAAGATAAATACAAGTCATGTATATACATTTTTTTGGCACCCCTGGTAGTTAATGTGATAGGTAGATGTCCTTTTGGGTTTTTGTTCCTTGAAGGAAACCTCAGTGAACACACTTGGGTTTTTTTAATTCATGGTTTTGAAATTAAAGTATTAAAATTTTGGAGATTGTACATTTTCAAAAATCAAACATATAGTTGTTTGGTGAAGCTGGTAAATATTTGAGGACCTGCGGTGTGCTATCACCTCCATTAGGAGCTAGGGTTACAGTGGTGAACAAAAGTCTTCCTTAGAAAGACCTGAGCCCTGCAGGTCAGTGTTCACACCTCCCTGACACTGCTCAACACAGAAACCTTCAGCGACTGTCCTCCCATTTTTCAACCTACTTTCCTGACCTTACTTCACCCTCATCTTTCTTCACAGTAGTCCCACCACCCCTTGAACACGCATCTCACATCTTGCATCTCATGTCCTAATAGTCCCACCTCTGCCCAATGGCCTCCCTACTCCTGTGTATCCATTAGCTTCATTTTTAAGTCATCTCAGCCTTAACCAGAGATCTCCCTATCCTTATGACATTGGTTTTTCATAATTATTTGCTTCCTTCCACCACTCCATATTTAAATTTGTCTTATTGTCTTGCATCGCTCTTTATATGTCTGTATGTCCTGCCCCTCTCCCACCAGGCTTCTTAATAACAGGAGCTATCTTATACTTCTTTGTACCTTCTTTAGCACCTACTGCTAATGCTGATTTTATTTTTATACATTTGTTATACTCTTCCCTATATAAATTAAATTTTATACGAGGGCATAGATTATTGTTTCCAGTTGTTCCTTCTGTCTTTTGAGAAATACACAAAACATAGTAGTATAACATAGTCATATAGGTATATCCATTAAGTGTTTCTTAATCTACAGCCTTCCAATATTTTTTCCAGGTGGGCATACCACTGAGATCCTCAGACTGCTTGAGCACTTGTCCAGTGCTTACTCTCCTAGACATTACATCATTGCTGACACTGATGAAATGAGTGCCCAGAAAATAAGTTCTTTTGAATTAAAACGGGCTGATAGAGACCCTAGTACCACGGTAAGTGATAATTTCTATTTCTACGAAAGTTACAAGTTGTATATTGAGTTTAACTATCTCTAGAAACAATCTCATGGCACTTCAGTGGTCTGCCCACTCAAACAGTCAAAGGTTTATTGCTGATAAAATATATTTTCTTTACTATCAAAAGATAAGCATTTCTTTGAAATAAATCTTCACATAAAGGTGGTTGCCTAATTTCTTGTATTTTCTTTTATTTTTTTAAATAGAGGAAATTGTTTTTCAGTTCATTCCAACTGTGAAGATTGTCTTATTTATACTTACATACATAAAGCACCCAGTTCATGTGCTTTTTGGCTCTTCATTAAAGTTCTTTACTGATGTATTGCATTTAGGGATAATTTGATTTATCTATACCTACCTCTTATTCTTCAAATCGTATTTGTGTCTGTCTTTAAAATTACTTCTCTATCCCCAGTTGCTGACTTCATTTTGGCATTTTAGTTAGAATTTGGGGTAAAAGAAAAAAAATGAAACTATTTTTTTTATCAAGGAAAGAAACTAGAGCTGTTCTTGTGTAGTCTCCATCCATCCCTCCCTCCCTGGACCTGCCCCGTCACGGGGCTGCAACAGGTAGTTCAGTGACTCCGCTCAGGCTGCTCAAAGTATTTCTTGGGCTTTTGGGACCTGGAGAACCAAATAATGGAGGCAACCTTTCTTCAGGGGCAAACTCTGTAAATGATAAAACCTGGGCACCTGGCAGTCATGTTTTCACCTGGTGGATAAAGACAGACTACAGATAGAGAAAAGAATGAAGTTAATACGCAGGAAGAATCAGATGAGAAACCATTTGGTGAGCCCTGCCGTCAGTAACTCCAGAGGCCCAGCTGCATCTGTGTGGGTCCTGGCTGGTGGTTCTCATCTGTCTTAGAAAGCAGGACCCACTAACACGGCCCCTCACCATTCCTCCTCCTGCTACCCCCAACTTTTTTGAAGCTTGTTTTAGTTGAGTTGTGGTCACTGGCACACATGATCCCAAGCTAAAACATTATTAAAACGTATTCTTCTCTGGGGCCGGCCTAGTGGCTCAGTTGGTTAAGAGCTTGCTCAAGAGTTTGAGCTCTGAGCAACAGTGGTTCAATGCCCGGCCTGAGCTGAGCAGCCGCTGAGCTGCCAACAGGTGGCAGGATGGCTCAGCTAAAAAACAAAACAAAACAAAAAAAACCGTGTTCTTCTCTAATGTTAAATTAAAAAGAAAAGAGAAAATAATTTGACAGGTAATAGTTTGTTTGATGTGACTTTCTCCTTTTATTTTGTCTGCACACAAACCTAACCATAAAATCATCACTACTGATAAATCAAAGGGAGAATGTGTCAGACTCACTCCTCAGCCCCTCGAAGCTGTTACTTTCTGTACTGGCTTTCAAGGGATGTTGTCTTTGGTGAGGAGCAAATAAATATTTTATAAAATAACATCGAGTTAAGACATGCATTTAAATGGACTCTGGTCAAAAAACAAAACTGGAATAAAGTAACAGTCTATTAAAAACACATATAACGCAACTTGTCTAGTTAGCAGGTGCCAGTGCCTGGGTTTTTTTCTGAAATTAAATATCCTGTTTATATGCTATCACACTTCACATAATGCCAGGCTCAGATATTTGCTTTATAACTTGAAATAATATTAATACATATAACACATCCTTTTGGTACCTCTCGTAGGAATATCGTTGATGCCCGACTGTCATGTTGTTAGTTTCAGTGTCCTAGCATTGTTGTATATTATGTTGTAAGACCATGTGTGGACTTACGGCTGCATCAAGGAATACAATTCATCTAGATTATGAATTATTTTCCTGTTTTTTTTAAACTCTTAAAACAAAATTTTTAAATGAAACTTTTAATTTCAATGTGGAATGTAAAAGTGAAAAAGTGACATTCGGGTATAATTCTGGAATATGAAATAAAGTTTCAATGTTAAACAAACAAACAAACAAACAAACAAATGTATTCTTGGAGAATCCATGTCAAACAAGACGGGAATCTGCTGCTGTGTTCAGCCATAGCAAAATCTATGGTATGTTTTCTCTGTGTGGAAGAAAAAAACACACGCTTGATATTTGTTTTAGGAATCAATACTGCAATAGTTTCCGAGGGCTGCTGTAGCAAAATATCACGAACTGTGTGGGACAACCAAAATTTCTTTTCTCACAGTTCTAGAGGCTAGAAGTCTGAAATCCGGGTGTCAGCAGGGCCATGCTCTCTCTGAAGGTTCCAGGGGAACATTCTTCCTTGCCTCTTCCAGCTTCTGATGGTTGCTGGTAGTCCTTGGCTTGTAGCAGCATCATTTCAACCCCTGCCTCCATGGCCACAGGGCCATTTCTGTGTCTCTGTCTTCACATGCCCTTCTTGTAAGGACACCAGTCATTGGATTTGGGGCCCACCCTAATCCAATATGACCTCATCCTAACTTGATTACATCTATAAAACTCTATTTCCAAATAAGGTCACATTCACAGGTTCCAGATGGACATGAATTTTTGGAGGACACTATTCATCCATGTGTGCCAGTAATTGATCCTTCCAATAATGTGTGAGACAGATAATAGTATCCTCATTTTACAAAAGAGAAAATGGAGCCTCAGACATATAAATAATTGACCATGGTCCCACCAAATATGTGGCACTTACCTAAGCATGTCTTCTCCAAAGCCTGTACTTTTTCCACACAGACCACTCTGCCTCTTTTCTGCATTCTTTTCCAATTCAAAAAACTAAGTGAGAAAAGAATGCTTTAGGAATTCTTATCCAAGACATCAGAAACTAAAAACGTCACTTAATCTCTTAGAGCAGCAGTTCCCAACCTTCCTAATGCCGCGACCCCTTCATACAGTTCCTCATGTGGTGGTGACCCCCAACCATAAAATTATTTTTGTTGCTACTCTATAACTGTAATTTTGCTACTGTTATGAATCGTAATGTAAATATCTTTTTGTTTTCCAATGGTCTTAGGCGACCCCTGTGAAAGGGTTGTTAGACCCTCAAAGGGGTTGCGACCCACAGGTTGAGAACCACTGTCTTAGAGTGTATATTAGAATTGGTGGAAATTTTGGAAAAAAATGATGGTGATTTTTCACACGAGGGATATAGATAGTATTATAATTTAGCAGTGGTATAGACTACTTAACAAAATATAAAGGTCAAATAATTACAAAATTCTTATTGCTTCTGGCATAATGAACAGATCTTTGTCTTTGCCCAATTGTTAGTGTGTGTATTCCTTTTTTTTTTCTAAAGTAGTATCCAGTTTGGAGGCTCTGGTTTTAATTCAGCATACAGGTGCCCGGCTAGCTCAGTCGGTAGAGCATGAGACTCTTAATTCAGCATACATACTGAATATTTCCCTCCAGGTCCGTAGGGATTGTTTATTTGCTGAATTACAGTGAAACAGTTGGAAGATTGTTATATACTGTGGATCAATGCCACTTTATAACCCAGTAAGTTGTGTTTGATTCACTTTAATAAGAAAGGCAAAGATTTAGGGGTTTTTAAGTGCCATTTATTATTATTATTATTATTATTATTATTATTATTATTATTATTATTACCACCATAGTTGCACCACAGCGTAGGTCAAGCATCTCTCTTTTACTTTCTTCCTTCATCAGTTAATTTACTGCTGGGGTAGTGCAACCTCAGTTAGAGAAAAAAACACTGTCCTGTACCTGAAAGGTTGTCTCATGAATCTGAAGCTGGAAGAGTTTCTGCAGAGATGCAGAGGAGAGCCATTGAGGACAGTAGCATGAATATGCCTGTTGTCCTTTCTGCTGGCCACCCCTGTGTGCCACAATTCAGAGAGAGGAGATGGTGGAGACACCTTCCCACCGCCTTGCTAAAGAAAGGAATCCACTTGGCCCTGTCTCTGCTCTACAGCTTAGGGAAGTTGTACCTGCGGGCCCCCTGGCAGCTATCCATTGTACCTTCCATGGAGCACACAACACTGGTGAGAGGAGGGTCTTGCTGAAGAAATCAATACTAATCAATAAATTTGCTATCAGAGCCCTCGTCATCCACAAATATGAGTAATCAAGCTCTGTATTGTCTAGTGCAGCAGCCACCAGTACTGGCCCAGCACCATTTATCAAATAAATAGTCTTGTCCCACTGATCTGTAGTGTTACCACTATTATTGGATTGTCAGAAAAATCATGACGTATTTTTCTATGTTTTCGTTGCAAAACTGCGTCATGACTTTTCCGACAACCCAATACATCAAGTTTCTTCTTTGTTAGAGGGTTCGTTTGTCTACCCCTGTGCTAACATCAAGCTTCTTTAGTCTTACTCTTCAGAAGTCTCTTAACTCTTTCTTTTTCATGTAGGTTGTTGAATTAGCTTTGAGAAATTCACAAAGAACTCTTGTAATTTTTGTTTTAATTAAATTGAATCAATACATAATTTTTGAGAACTTAACACTTATATATGTTCCTAACCAGGAATGTCATTTCTCTCTCCATTATTTAGATCTCCTTTAGTGTTTTCCAGTAAAATTTTTGATTTTCTTAATAAGAGTCTTGCATATCTTTTGTTGCTTTTATTTCTAGGTACCTTGTATTTTATCATAAGTGATATATCTTTTAATGATGTTTCCTGTATTGTGGCATATAGAGATACAATTGATTTTTGTAGAGTACTCATATAAGAAAGACCTCTTGCGACACTAATTAATCCTAATAATTTGTAAACTTTTATGTTATCTATGAAGATAACCTCATCATCTGTAAATAGTAACAATTGTGATTTTCTTTCTAATCCTTACACCTTTAATTTCTTTTGCTCATTTTGTTGTTAGAACTCCCAGAACCAGTAACAAGTAGAAGCAGTCATCCTTGCATTCTTTCTGATTTAAAAAATTAGCCAAGAGTTTTATTTTAAATCATATTGGTTGTTTATGTTTGTCAAATGTCTTTTCTGCATCTGAGATGATCATATAGTTTTTCCAATTATATCTGTTTATGTGGGCATCTACATGGTATGAGCTAT